AATAAACCTATGATTCATAAGAAGCCGTATTGTAGAAGGTTTCTCATAAGTTCATCGCCTTAAACTAAGGAACAACAGTAAGTGTAAATTTTAGCCCCTTTTCTCTTTAGTAGTATAGTTTTTGTCTTCATCTTTTGTGTACAATTTTGGTCCTATTTTATTCTCTTTCGTATTATTTTCGTCTTCGTCGACGTACACCATGTGTAATGGGATAGAAGTCACGCCTCATTCCTCTCAAGAGCTTTCTGGTCGTTAGAATCCAAAAAAATATAGTGTAAAAGATTGTCGTTGAATAAACCTATGATTCATAAGAAGCCGTATTGTAGGAGGTTTCTCATAAGTTCATCGCCTTAAACTGAGGAACAACAGTAAGTGTAATTTTTTAGCTCCTTTTCTCTTTAGTATTATTGTTTTTGTCTTCATCGACGGACTTAAATCCCGTGTACTAAACGAGCTAGACGTAACGCCTCATTCCTCTCAAGAGCTTTCTGATTGTTAGAATGCATGAAAGAATTATATTTGACGTTAAATAAACCTAATATGTATAAGAAGCCGTAGTGTAGAACGTTAATTTCTCATCACTTCATCGCCCTCAAACTGAGAAACAACAGTAAGTAGTGTACAATTTTGGTCCTATTTTATTCTCTTTCGTATTATTTTCGTCTTCGTCGACGTACACCACGTGTAATGGGATAGAAGTCACGCCTTATTCCTCTCGAGTTTTCTGGTTGTTATAGAATGCAAAGAATTTTAGTGTCAACATTGAATAAACTGGTAATATATAATGAGAAAACGTGGTGTAAAACGTTTTTGTCGTCAGTTCATAGCCTCAAACTGAAGAACGACGGTAAGTAAAAGTAGATTTAAGACTCAGAGAAGAAAAGGAAAGAATTATTCCATTGGTTACTAAAATAACAAGAAGTTGAAGAAGCGTGAATGAATGTGAATGTGACAGTCAAGATGGCTGCCGTGAGATAGGTCAAATAGGACAAGTTTTGATTCGTTTCCTCATTCAATTTTGTATTCGTTACAGAATAGAGACTTAAGAATCTTGGCCCTACGACAATGAAGTTTCGATATGCTATCCTTGTTTGCCTGTGCTATTTCGCCTTCGATTTGATTGTACAGAGCTCAAGCATTCCAGAAACAGAAGGGGGAAAAGGCACAGAAGGTCAAGAAGGGACAGAAGGTCAAGAAAGGACAGAAGGTCAAGAAAGGACAGTGACAACCGGAGTAAGTTATATAAACAAGTTTTGGTAATTTTGGTCTTTCCTGGTTTAAATGAGCGATGATCGAGTTCGTAAGAGTAGTAACAAAAATACACGATACGTATAGACCCCTTGCACTGAGACCCAAGAGGAATTGTTCTGGGGGACAAAACATGCAAGGTTAACAAACTCAACCCACAGGTATACGTGCAACGTGTCGGGGAATCGATCGCGGGTCGCAGTAACGAGAGGTGAGGCGGGCTAGCGTTCTTACCGCTAGCCAGGCCCATGCTTCCTGAATCCGATACAACAACTCACAATCAATCACTCTACCACTAGTATAAAACACACTGAAAACACATGAGTATATTCAACTTAACAAGACTCGTCACAGCAACACTAAACTACACAACACGACATAAGCTGACATCCAAAATACAATATATTCAACTTAGAATGTGACAACATACAAACATTTTCTTAAAATACTTTAGCTATTTTCTCTTTTTTTTTTTTTTATTAGAATCAAGCAAGCGATGGGTGCAAGAAAATTGGCAAACTATGCAGAACTGATAGCGATTGCACTGGAATTTGTAAAAATAAATCGCTGGCATGTATGAAGGCATCATCAGGCCTAAAGATTCCGACTAAAAAGTGCAAATTAATATAATGAACTAACAAAGGTCAAATAAAATGCAGTTTCCCGTCTAACTGAATGTCTTTTTTGAATTTATCTTTTATATTAGCCCTTGAATTCAGAAAGAGTTCTTGTCTTGACTAGTCATAACTATTGAGGTCAGCCCAGAGGCTGTTTCAAGGTTTGATCCGTGACTTAGTTAGCCGTGCCCTGCAAAGATCAGCCCAGAGGTTGTTGAAAAAAGCTCCGGCAGTCTCTTTTAGACCAAAGCATATAGACATCAAGGAATTGCTCGATAAAACGTGTCGTTTCTGCTCAGCCATTTTCTGTGTCCATGTATGGAAACTACTTACCATATTTGGAGTTTGAGGTATGTTTGTATCACAAAAAAGACCATTTTTTTGAGGTAAATTTTATCCAAACTTACAGAAATTCGAGTGAAAACACATTTCTACGTCGGCCATTTTGTTTTTTGTCCAAGAAAAGACTGGAGAAGAGACACAGGGTGACCGTTGTTTGATAGGCTGTTTACCACAGGAAACCCGCGAAAACGACACTGATTGTCTGATATTCAGCTTATAGAATTAGACTCAAAATAAGTATCAGAAAACATGCAAACAAACGGCTGCTTCCTTCCCAATCAGATAGACCTAAAATATTTTACATAGTTTTCCTACAACTACAAAAGATATATGACTTCTTGAACAGCAAACTTGTCTTTCACTTTCAATGATTTGCGTTTTAGTTTTATTTCAATCTCTTATTTATTTACTCATTCAAAATACAACACAACATGAACATACTTAATCAGTTCCTTATTCGATTATTTATCTCAATGCTAAAATAGCATATTTTCCTCGATAAAAATGTCTTACAAAGTCCCCAAAGTTTTCTCGATAAAAATGTCTTATAAAGTCCCCAAAGTCTGCGTCAAATCACGGTATAAATACTTGTAGTACACAAGCGAATTTCCAAGAGCCGTCAGCATTTTGTGAGCCCCCACACATCATATACTTCCCATTGCAGGTTCCCGAGCATGCGCTGTAGTCTCCAAGCGTACAGGGCTGGTGTAGCTTGTGACACTCTTGACGCTTGGTTTCCATGACATCCTAGTAATACAAGGACAATAGGTTTTGAATCTTCAGACTTAATTATGCGACTCATGGTGCTGCGAAAACTGATGATAGCTTGGCTATTTTTAATCTATTTTTGTATATGACTTCGGGTTTTTTTAGCTTGTAATACTATTGCCAGAAGTCATTGCCCTGACATTATTTCTCTGTTCGAATATATATGTATTTATTTTTTATCATCATCTGTAAATATTGGGTACATTAAACATTAAAACAATATATGATGTAAGTTTTTGGGCTCCCTTGCGATGGCGAAGAAACAAGATGGCCGCCAAAGGCCGGGCCGACGTACGACACTATCAACATTTTCGGCTTGTTTCTCTTACGTATTGCATTATATCACCAAGCTTTCTAGCTAGAAAAGACGAAAATGTTCGAAGTTCCCAAAAAACTTCCTTTTAGAGCCTTTCTTCATTTTAAGCCAGAGTAATTTAACATTCTTAAAAAAGACGGTACGCATGCGAATCTCATCTAAACCGCTGACCACCAAAATTAAAATATCTATCTTCTTCTAAGAGTGCATTCAGTCAAACTGTTGAATAGTTAGATAAATGTGCCTAACATAGATAACTATTTAGTTGACGTCACCTAAGATGTATTAAGAGCGCGCCAAATAACGGTCATGCTAATCCGGGGGGTTGTTTTACCAGAGAATGAGTAAATAGACATTCATTTGTATCATCGTTTCTCCCTCTGATCTCAGTAGCTGTTTACTCATAGTTTCAAATTTATGTGAGGTCAGCTAAAATRGTAACTTACTTATCTAATTTAGGTGACGTCAACTATTCAACAGTTCGACTGAATGCACTCTAATGTTTACCGTAATTGTTAATTTTCTTTTTTAAGTAGTGAACGAGCCAATGAGACAAAGGTTTTCATTGGCTGAAGTCATTGCGCTATCAGTATAGTTACCATTTTAAAATCGATCCCCTTTCATATTAGCCTAGCCAATATAAATGCAGATATTTTTGACTAAATAAAGCCAATTGGCTAAAAATCATTGCATGATCTTTTGTCCTAAACCAACCAGATTTTTTACTATAGCAACACGCTGGGGAGGTGAAGAAATCTATAGTCAATTTAACGGAGTCCGACGTGTCATGAACGCCGCAATTAAAAACTAAATCAAATCTGGCACGAAAAAAATAGCTGAAAAAGCTGGGAATCAAGAAATTTAGGACAGAGAAAAACAGAGAAAATACAAAGGGGRAAAAAAGCCAAAATACAAAAATAGATACATGTTCTGAGGCAGGGAAGCGTCTAGTTTACAGTAGAACACGAAACGGTTATATGAGAGGCACAAAAACTGTCTAGAACTAACGAATCTGAGAATCGGATTAATGACTTTCAAAGGAGAAATATATAGAATAAATAAATGGTATGATATATAGAAGTCTGCAGTGAATTGAACGGGGTACTTGTAAGCGTAATGATCAGAAACCAAACCTGGCTTAAAAAAAAAATAGTTGGAAAAGCGTTAGAAAGCTAGAAAATTTAAAACAGAGAAAAACGAACAAAAATTAAAAAGTTTTAGCTCTTAGTTTGGTGTGAAAATTTAGTTGAAAAGGCACAAAAATTTTCAGAATTAGCGAAAATGAATCGAAACTCTCTTAAAGTAGTAGATGAATATAAGAATGTTTGTCTTTATTTGGTGAGAAAGTTTACAAAAGGTAAAGTGAAATGCTGCAGGTAAACATTGAAAATGAATTGTTGTTGTTGTTGTTGTTTTTTTTTTGTTGTTTGTTTTGTTTTGTTTCGTCTTGCAGTTTTGTTTTTGTTTTTGTTTTTGTTTTTGTTTTTGTTTTTTTCCCCACTAATTGTGAAGACTTTTTTGCTTGGACACTGAAAATGATAGCTGAAAAATATACCCAAATTCAAGCAAAAATATATTTCTAGCATTATCTATTTTTGAGTACTAGGTAATTTTTATGAATTTCAAGTAAGAATCTTATAAAGATATTTAAAATGAGAAAATCTTGCTAATACTAGAATATGACGAAGAAAAATGAACTGCTTTGAAAATGGACTGGAGAAGGAAAGATGTCAAATAATTTATTTCCTAGAGTTTTGAAATTGGAAAATTTTGGTTGTAAAGAATTGAAAATAAAACAACTGAGACATAAGGCTTAAAAAAGCGAAAAGAGAAAATTTTGCTTAAGTACAAAGAATATACAAAAGTGCATGAATTAGGAAATTCATTTACTCGCCTTATCTTTTACCTTTTTTTCGTCTTTCGCATGTCGTAGTCCTTCCTGGTTGACAGGAGAAGTAGTTGCATTCAAGACACAAAAAACAACTACGAACAGAAGAGCGAGGGATGTCTTGAGGTCCATGGTCTTGATAGCTATGAGGTTCGTCATGGTAAATAGTTAAAGGGGCACTTGGATGAAAACGCCCCAGTTTTTCAAAGTCCAAAATAGTGAAGTATTTGAGGATAATATGACTCAATTATGATTATGTAAACCAGATTAGTGAAAATTTTTGCCTGGGAGCCACTTGCAGTTGAGAAATTTTGAGTTAAAAGGCAAGAGAACAATAGGGTTGAGTAAATAACGTCATTTCCTCACAATTTATATGCTGAATAAAATTGATAATTTTTATCTGAGACATTTTACTGTGAAGAAAATATGTTGCTTGGCTACTATTGGGGCCATATAGATACGTTTAATTAAGATTAAAGTCAAAATTTTTATCCATTTTCATCCAAGTGCCCCTGAGAAACAGATACTTGACTGAACATTGATTACTTTAGTTCCATTAGCTCGCTGGCGTGAAGTGGGTGCAAGGAGTAATTGCTTTTGTTATCCAAACATGTCAACTAGAATGAAAAATAGATTTGGTAAGCATTTTATAATTGGGCAATCCACAGGGAGCCCATCATAAACATTCTCTTTGCTTAGGGATATTTGTATAACCCCATGCTATCTCCAAGTTCGGAATGGTTTATTTTYTTTATCGAACGTTAATTCGACTTTGCAAGCAGTTATGGATAGACAATTAGATAATTGAGAGAGAGAGAAGGGGGCGGGGGAGGGGGATTTGCAGGATTTTATTGAAGAAATAGAAAATGCGCGCGCGTTCTGTGTGCAGTGATAAAGCTGAACGCGGGGATAGGTAGAACACGAGAAAAGTGTTACGAGAAGCACGAAGCGTAGCGGAGGGCTTCTCGACACTTCACGAGTGTTCTGCCAATCCCTAAGTGCTTTATAACTCCACACCGTACAGCACAGCAAGCAAGTTTTTTTTTATAAAACACAAATTACATGAATGACGGAACTGAAAATGCCCGTGCGTGCTGTGTGCTCTCACGAAGCACGCGCTCCCAATCAATCAAAACGCGAGATTTAGAGCAGTTATTTTATAATGTGCGATATCTATTTTTATTTACATGTATTCGTTTAACCACTGCACGCAATTMATGTTTGTGTTTGTTCGATCAGTTTCTCTACCGAAAGAAGAGGTTGCGCGATATTTTGTTCGTAGGTGAAGCCGCTTGATATTTATGGGGGATATATTAACGCAACCCCACCCTCCCCCCCCTCCTCCCTCCAACTCCTCAATAGGTTCCTATCAATAGACGTCACTTCCGGTAATAGCTCTTTTTTTGATGGCTTGTAGAATCCTGGAGGTTGTTTTGATCTCTTGTTTTCTGGTTTGATGT